AGTTCAAGACAAGCCTGGCAAGAGGGAGACCCCGCTCTTTATAAATCAGAAAAATTATCCAAACAACTAAAATAGCAAAAAACTTAACAGCCATGGTGGCACATTGCCTGTAGTCTCAAGCTACCCGGGAGGCTAAACAGGAGGATACTGAGTGAGCCCAGGAGTTTGAGGTTACCTGTTGAGCTAGGGCTGATTGCCATGGCACTCTAGCCAGGCAACAGAGTCCGAGACTGCTCCAAAAAAAAAAAAAAAAAAAAGAAAAGAAAAAAAGAAGAAGAGGCCAGGTGCAGTGGGCTCACGCCTGCTAATCCTAACACTCTGGAGGCGAGGCCGGGGGGATTGCTTGAGGTCAGGGAGTTGGAACAGCAGTTGACAAGAGCGAGACCCCGTCTCTACTATAAATAGAAAGAAATTAATTGGCCAACTAACTTATATATTAGAAAAAATCAGCCGGGCATGGGGGCACATGCCTGTAGTCCCAGCTACTCGGGAGGCTGAGGCAGGAGGATTGCTTGAGCCCAGGAGTTTGAGGTTGCTGTGAGCTAAGCTGACACCACAGCACTCACTCTAGCCTGGGCAACAAAGCTAGACTCTGTCTCAAAAAAAAAAAAAGAAAGAAAGAAATGGTTTCTTACATTAGGCTGAAGTCCTGGGGTCTGCCCCTGGGACCATGTGGGCCCTGTCTGACCCTGAGCACAAGGGCACGAGACATCTGTGAAGAGAAGGACCGCTAATGCCTCCTCTCCAGGCCCCAAGCCTCCAGCACAGTGTTCGTTTTGTCTTCCTCCTGGGCCTTCTCTCCTGGTCATGTGCATTTGTCTCTAGTTAAGATCTGGAGCAGAAAGTTCCAGGTACCGGATTGTCCAGGGCAGCAGAAACAGAGGCCATCCCGTGCCCCTCACGCTGGCTGCTGCCCTGTGTACTGACAGGCCCGGCCTGTAGTCCCTTGGTCCCTTTTGTGCCCCCAGAGCCTAGCACAGAGTCTGGCACACAGGCGAGGTGGGTATGAGGGAGGCATAGAACCGTTTTGTGTCCTGGGCGCTCTTCAGGGGGCCAGAGCCGGAAGCGTGGTGGGAAGGCGGTCGGGCGGCGTGTCTGCAGCTGAGCCTCCCACCGGCCTCCGCTTCTCTGCTCTCACTTGCAGGGCATCGGGTCTTTGTGTTTGTTTCTGGAGTGTGTGGAGTTTTCCGCTTTAAACACCTTCGCTGGGATGTTGGGGTTTTACGTGGCTCTGCAGTTTCCTAGGAGGGGATCGATGTGTCCAGATGGTCACTGGGTCCTGGTTTGGGCTGGTTGCGCCACATCCCGAGGACATTCTGTCTCATCTCCCTTCTCAGAGGATTAGCCCATTATTGAGTCACTGATGATTCTGCAGAGGAAGCCATCGGCAAACCGGTACTTTGCAGACTGGCTGGCCCCAGAGCACCTTTAAGGTCAAGAATCTTGAACTGAGAGAGACGGGTGAAATTTGATGATTCTGACTCGTCGAATGCAGAGCCGGGTCTGGGTAGACCTCGACCACGTCACTCAGGAGTGTGCCCACGTGTGTTGTCACACAGGAAAAGACGGGCGCTCAGGCACTAAGCCGGTCCCAGGAGCAGATTGCAGGGTGGGCTGGCTTGGGCAGGTGATTCCAGACGGAGGGACTGATGGACCTCAGGCTGCCGTGGCACCTCTTGAGGGTTTCGTCTTTGGTGACTGGAAGACTGGTTGCCTTGGGGAAGGTGCCAGGCTCCGAGAGGAGCACCCCCAGCTCCTCTGGCTCCTCCAGCTCCTCCGGCTCCTCTGGCAGTGAGACCGAGAGTAGGTGGCACCCACCTGCCCAGCCTTGCAGAGCTGTCGATATGGCAGCCTCACCTGGGTGATGGCGCGTGTCTGTCCACTCACTCCTTCAGTGTTGACTAAGTGTATATGGCGCCAGGCCCTCTGGGAGTCAGTGGGCTGGGATTCCTACCCACAGGGAGTCTACAGTCTGGAGCAAACACAGGCCACGCACTGTGGGCTGTTCCCTGAGCTCAGCCCCATCTAAGGCTCTACACATTCAACCCCCTCCCGACTACACCCCTGCAGGAAGGAGTTATCCCCAGCTTGTAGATGGGGAAACTGAGGCATGGAGCATTTAAGAAACTTGCTTGAGGGCATGTAGCTCCTGAGTGTTGGAACCACAGTCCACACCCAAGCAGCCTGGCTCCAGGGCCTTGGCTCTTTGCCCTGCGTTACGCTGCCTCTGTACAAGGAGGACCAGACGTGTCACAGGGACGGGCAGCGTGTGATGTGAGCATGGCGACGGGACAGGGGAGGCGGCGTCTCAACCGGGTCTGCCTCTGGGACTTGGCAGGGGATCAGAAGGAGACTGCTGGAGGTGTGAGAGACCCTGGCGCACCCTGGGAACTTAGCCCTTTCCTGTGGTTGAGTAAATAGTCATGCCACCAAAACGCACTAGCGTCAAGCAACTGTTGATTTTGTTTGCAGATACTGTAGGTCAGGAGTTTGGACAGGGCACAGTGGGGATTGTTTGTCCCTGCTCCATGGCGTCTGGGCCTCAGCAGCACTCGAGGGCCAGGCAGGGATCATCTGAAGGCTCGCGCATGTGTCTGGCATGTGAAGCTGGTTGACAGCTGAGGGCCTCGGTTCCCTCCACTTGAGCCTGTCCACGTGGTCGCCACAGCAGCTAGCTTGTGCTTCCTCCCAGCATGGCGGCGGGGTTCAAGGGGGAAGGAGCCAGAGGAAAGAGGCCTTTTCTAACCCCAGAATTGATGTCATGAAACGCCCCTTCTGCTGTAGTCACTGAGGTCCACCCAGATGCAAAAGGAGGGACCCTGCCACTCGATGGAGGGGTGTCAGCATCACAGGGTGTGGCCGTCTTTGGGAAATACCATCTGTCACAATATAGCTCGACCCAGCTTAGAGGGACACATCCATTCCTCTGGGTCTTGTGTGATTTTGGCAAAGGTCGTTATCGGGTTGACATCGGATGGCTTGGTGCCCACCCCCTTTCCTCTGCTCCAAAGTTCTTTCCAGTGAGTTGTGATCTGGAGCTTAGCGGACATCCTTGCTGTCACTAGACATCTGAGCTGCCTCCAGGCCAGGCAGGCAGGACACATGGCCCTCCAGCCATCCTGGAGCGTCTGAGCCCGAGCAAGGCAGGCAGGTAGACAGTAACGGCTGTGATGGCGGGCACTCAGAGAGCTCCTCCTAGCGCCGGTCACCCTTCCAGATACTTTGCCTACTCCATTAAGCCTCACACCCCCCTGGCAAGGTGGATACCCCTGTGGTCCCCATTAATAGAAGAGGCAACTGAGGCCCAGAGAGGCCCACACAGGTAACCAGTGGCAGGGCCGCACTGCAAACCCTCTGCTATGTATGTGTGACGGGACAGTCACAGCAGAGCATGGTCACGTGCTATGGGTCAAGTGTGTGTAGGGTGCTGCCTGGAGACAGGAGCCATATATAGATTAGAGCAACTGTGAGTGGCGTAAAGTGCCCCAATTACGTTCCTTTCCGTATTGCTGAAGGCCAGTTTTGCCTAAACACATATTGCAGGGCCGTGTGTGCTCCGGTTCGAGGCAGTTACACGTTCGTGGTGTGCCCCGTGTGTGCTGTGTGTCGTGCCTGCACTCTGGGGAAGGAGGAGGCCCCCTCGCAGGGGGTCACCGTTGGCCAGTATGACCCAGGGTGGGGAATACTGGAAAGTGTCTGCATGGATCAGGTTCCCTGGGTGAGAAGGCACTAATGTCCATGTCAGTCTCTGGACACTTCTCCGAGTTTACAACTCCCAGCTGGGTTTGAAGGGGGGGCGGTGCGGGGGGAGGGCGCTCCATGAGCAGGCCCAGGAGTGCTTCGCAGGAAGGTAGAGAACCTGCCTGAGGGCAGATGGGGTTTTAGTGTTTCTGGGCAGGGACATGAGCGTGGGCGGGGACCAGGCCACCCGTTGAAAGACTAAGTGCCAAGCCAGGGGGGCAGCACCAGGGAGCCTCGCAGGGCTCTGTGCTGCAGGGGGTGGCAGGATCACATGGGAGGGAGCCCTCTCCCTGTGGGGCCACCGTGGCCCCTTGACCTTCTGTTCCCCTGACCTGTTCTGACACTCCCTTGGCCTTACACCTTTGCTGGACATCTCTGCTGGTTACCATGTCCTCACCCTCATCCTGCTTCTCTCTGTACTTGCTCTCTGTCCTCAGTCCTGGCACACTCGTGTGCTTTAGCACTGTGCAGGCAGCAGCCTTCATTTTGCTGACCCAGCAGAAATCCTCTGGTCAGGGGACTTGTTACTGCAGATTGTGGCATTTATAGCCTCAACGTTTACAACAGACTTTGACCATGCCACCGCTCATTGTTATGGATTTTGGGTCTTCATGGTGATGTTGAGCGTGTCCCACCCCTGAGTGAGGTGGTCGAGCTTCCCGAGACACTTGTGCTATGCTCTGTACACTCTCATGTGCTTCGTTATAGTTTATAGTTCTGTGCACGAACCAGATACCTGTGCGGGTTGTCGAACGAGTGAAGGATCCACCCTCTCATTCTTGCTTAGAATTTCTCCCAAGATCCCTCTGGAGAATGTTAAATTGTCGTCTTGGTGTAAACTCTGTAACCTGTAACACACAGACAAGTGCATAAAACTAATAATTATAAAGCCATACCGTTTCACCCCAGAACGCACACAGTGCCAGCCCCTGGAACCCACAAGTGCCCACTCCAATCTCAGGCTCGTCACACAGTCCTGCGCTATGGTGGCCCCCTCCTTGCCTTCCTTTACGGTCTGACCAGCAGTGCAGATGAGCACCCCGAGCAAGGTGATTTAGCTGGGCCTGGTTTGAACTTTCGAGTGGAACGCTAACTGCACATTCTGTTGATGGGCTCTTTTGCACGTCCCTGTGTCCCCGAGGCTCCTCCCTGTTGCTGCATGTGGCTGTGGCTCCTTCACCTCCATTGCCCTTTAGAATTCCGCCGTCTGGAGGCCTGTTCTGCCGATTTCAGTGGTTTTCTCTGGGCCCTATTCGCAGCCTTGGTCATCTACAACTTCCTGAGCCTGTGCTACGAGTACCTCGGGGGAGAGAGTTCCATCATGTCGGAGATCAGAGGGAAGCCCATCGAGTGAGTATGGCCAGTCCTGGCAACTCCCAAAGCACCCCTTTTCCTGGGCCTGGTGTTCTTTGAGCTGCCCTGGTGTCAGCTGGACACACAGACCACCTCTGCCTGTGACCGTGACCTCCTGTGCTCTCCCGCACTTCCTGAGCAAGAGTGTTCATCTGGCCTCCTGGGAGGCCTCTCTGGCTCGTTCTCTCTCTTCCTGTCTCGGCCTCGGTCCTTTCCTGTTTGTCTGTTTCTCCCTCCTGCAGTTTTTCCATTCAGTGTTCTCCAGGCTGGTTTGTCACCCAGGGCCAGAGCAGCCCTGCATCCCTCACGTGCACACACGCTGCCCTGCCCCTCCTCTGCTTGGCCTTGGGCTCCAGGGCTGCCCCGGACCTCTGTCCCAGCTTGTCTGCATGTGCGGGAGGGCAGCCGTGCCCAGCCCCACCTTTCTCATGCCCCGGCTCTTTGCTCACCGGCCCCTTTTTCTCGCTTGTCTCTTCCAGGTCCAGCTGTATGTACGGCACGTGCTGCCTCTGGGGAAAGACGTATTCCATTGGATTCCTGCGGTTCTGCAAACAGGTGTGTGCCCCGCAGCCGCCCAGGGCAGGAGGAGCACGCTGGGCCCAGCCGTCTGGGTCTGTGCCCTGGAGCCTGCCACAGGCTGCCCTGACCCCACCTGTGGAGGTCCCCTTCCCTACGAGGTACTGAAGCCCCAGCACCCCCCTTCCCAGAGTGTCAGGAAGGAGGAGTATTAGCAAGGTGTGCTCAGAGGGGCAGTGACGGGCGTCCTGGGAGTGTCTGGGGCAGCTTTGGGCAGGAGCTGATCCCAAACTCTTGCTCATTTTTGCCAAGTCTTGGTGTGTGAGAATCGAGGAAATGCATGGAGATTCTAGAATCTCAGTTTGAAAACTTCTCATCAACTGCGACTAGGGGGCAGGAGGGTTTCGCCATCAGAGACACATGGCAGAACGGGCCTCTGCTGTCTCTCTGGTCTCTTCCCCCGTTCCCCAGTTGGGAGTCCACACGGTCTGATGGCCATCTTCTCTGTGTGACCTTGGGTGATGTACTTAACCTGTCTGAGCGTTAGTCTCCTCTTCTGTAAAATGGGCATAATGACACTTATTGCAAGGCACGGTTGAGAGGAACAGATGAGGGAATGGAGGAAGAGCCCGTGACACAGCGCCCGCACAGAGCCGGTGGCCTCCTGTTCAGAGGTAGAGGCCAAGGGGCCCCATGCAGCCTTGACCTCACGTTAGTCCCCTCTGGGCCCCCCAGGCCTGCGGCAGTCTCTCCAGCATCGCCGGGAGTGGTCGGCACAAGAGGAAACCAAAGCCACGGCCGAGTCACTACGGCCTGCAGAGGGCTGGCCCTCCTGCTCCTTCCGTGCAGGCCAGCCCTCAGGGGCACACCCACAGGCGTCTACCTGGGCGGGCCAGGCTCCAGTTCTGTTTCCAGATCTTCCTTCCCTGGTGTGTTTCTAAATTCAGAATCTCACCACTGGAACTGCGGGGAAAGAGTTAAAACTGTCCTGGGCGCAGGGTGGGGCATTTAGAGCCATTGTTTACCAGGCCAGGTTCCGGGCCAGCTGTGACTCACTGCCTTGTTTAATGATTATATTGTCTGTGAAGTTTTGAGCTCATGGTCGCTAGCTAGCATGGCCTCCTTATAAATGATTCCCAGCCCCATGGGCTAGATGTTCTGCCGTTGGTCCTGGAGGTGACGGGAGAGGCAGTAAGAGGAAAGAGAACTAAGGAAGCCTCTTCGTCCCTTTACCACGGCAGGCGCGGGGGTGGGCCTGAGACACGCTTGGTCCAGTTCCCAGTGACTGAAGCTTCTGGAGAGCTTGTTAAAAGCAGAGATTCCCAGATGAGCCGCCTGCTCTGCCCCAGCCTGATTGAGGAGGTCTGGAATGCAGCTCAGGGACCTGGCACATGATTAAAGCTGCCCAGGTGACCCTGATGTCCAGCCCGGCTGGGAACTGACTGCACTGGTGCAGGGTGTGGCTGGGTGATGGCTCTGGGGCCTGCTGGCTTGGGCTCTGATGTCCCTTCTGCCACTTCAGCTTCTCTGTGCCTCAGTTTCCTTATCTGTAACATGTGCAAGATGATGGTACCCATGTCAGGCGGCACCAAGTGAGCTGGCGTGGAGCAGCCCCGCCCGTCGCCAGGCTTATAGCAAGAATCGCGCAAACTGCTGCTCTTCCCGTTTCCCCAGGGCTGCCGGTCCCACTTCCTCCAGGTGGGGTGATGGGGCCAGGGAGATTCTGTGGGGCTTTCTGAGAGCGTGACCACACCTCTGCCCGTCCACGCGCCTCTCCGTGTGGCAGTCCCGTGGTGCGGGCCGCCTGGGTGCCCCTGCAGGCCTCGCCCAGATCCTGCTCAGGGCAGGGACGGGCTTCGGCAGGCCTCGTGCTCTGCCCCAGGCCCCTTGCCCCCCTTGCAGCCACGCTGGTGCAGCCTCGCTGGTGGGTACGTGGCCGCTGCTGTGGCTCCTCTGGAAGGGCCTTGGCTTAGGATTATATGTCTTTAAGAGAAGGGTGATTCTAGTGATTTTTATGGGCACCGTGGATACCCCTTGAGTTTTCTGGAGCCTCCGTAGGGAATTGGGAAAACCTGGCTAAGGAATCCATTCAGCGGTAAGCAAGCCTGCAGGAGCCTTCACTACACGCACGGAGGTGGACTTCCTGCCAGGGGCACTGCTCTATCTGGCTCTGCTGTCCCCACAGCAGGGCCCTGGGAGGTGGGGGCCGGCTGTGTCCATTTCAGAGGTGGAGGACTGTCTGGGCTGCAGCAGCTAGGGGCTGGCCAGGCTGTGGTTCAAACTCAGCTCAGAACTCCGGAGTCTGTGCTCTGGCCGCTCCCGGCTCCCCACCTGGTGTTCCTGTGGGTCATCTCCGTCCTCTGGGAGGCCCGGCTCACCACAAGTCCTGGGTCCAGGCCCAGAGTGTGGCGCAAGGAACCAGAGCAGGGGTGGACGGGAGGATGAGAGGAGGCCCTTGCCCACCTTCACTCCCCGAGTGGCCAGTTCCCCCAGTGGGCCCAGCCCTGCCCACTTCTCCGAGGCTGCCCCTCAGCGCTCCAACCCTCGCACCCTTCCACTTTTCCCCTGGGCCTGGACGGAAGCCTGGGGCCCCTCTGGTCTCCGGCACGTTCCTGACGCTCCCTTCCCCAAGAAGCCTTCTCTGCTGACTGTCTCCTGGCCTGTCGTGCCCTGCGCTGTTGGTCCTCAGCATCCTGTGTCTTCTCACATGAGGACTTTGCCCCGTCATCCCCGCACATGCTGCCTGCCCCTCCAGACAGCGGTCCCCTTGGGAGCAGGACAAGGGGCCGGCCCCTCCGTCCCTGTTCTCACGCGTTTCTTGTGCTCTCCTCCACTCCTGGCCATCTCTCTTCCGAACAGGCCACCCTGCAGTTCTGCGTGGTGAAGCCCCTCATGGCCGTCAGCACCGTGGTCCTCCAGGCCTTTGGCAAATACCGGGACGGGGACTTTGAGTAAGCAGCGGGCCCTCCCTTGGGCGTGGGGGAGGAGTGCGGGCGCTGGTGCTGTCCTGCCCAGGCTGGTGCCTGGCTCAGGGCAGAAGCGGCCAGATGAGCCCAGCAGCTGTGACCTTCTACATACGGGCTGAGGTGCTTTGCCTCCTGTGCCTCTGAGCCTGACCCTGGCAGTGGCTGCCCTCGCCCTTGACCCAGCTGCCGGCCCAGGAGTGAGCCCTTGGCGGCAGTTGAGTTCACGTTCGGGCTGCAGAGCGCCGCACGCACGTGCATAGGCCACAAAGGGGCAGCGACCTTCCGAGGCAGGGAGTGAGAAGGTCTGGGCCGGCCCCAAGCCTGGGGCATAAAGCCCCTGCTGTGTAAACTGTCCACACACACTTCACTGGGGGTCAGTGACAGTAGCCACCTGTCTGGCTCTGGGCTTGCAAGTGTCTCGCACACACTTTGTGTGACCCACACAGGAGCCCCGCCAGGACACGGGAGCAAACTGAGGTCGGGGGCCTGACTTAATCATGCCACCTACTTTGATGCCTGTCACTGGACTGTCAGGCTGTGGCCTCCAGCACGGCCCTGTCTTCCACACCCATGTCCCGCATCAAGAGTGTGGGCACGGGAGCTTAGACACGCCCGTGAGTGAAGCACAGGCCGCAGGGCTGGCTGTCCGGGGGCACACCCTTCCTGCCACGTCTGTCGATTTGATCACCTGCCCCTCCTTTAGTGGCTTGCTGAGCTCTGTACCATGGGGGCCACACACGGGAGGGTGGAGGTGGGCCTCATCCCCGTCCTGCAAGGGTCTGTCCAGCCAGAGGATGTTCCATCCCACAGCGTCTCCAGCGGCTACCTCTATGTGACCATCATCTACAACATCTCCGTCAGCCTGGCCCTCTACGCCCTCTTCCTCTTCTACTTCGCCACCCGGGAGCTGCTCAGCCCCTACAGCCCCGTCCTCAAGTTCTTCATGGTCAAGTCTGTCATCTTCCTCTCCTTCTGGCAGGGTGAGCCTCTCCCAGTGCCTCGAGGCCGCCTGTGCTCCTAGTCATCTGAGCCTCGGGCTCTCCCTCTGCTTGCTGTCCCTGGTGGCTGGGGCTCGGGTGTGGGGCTGTCCTGGGCGAGACTTGACCGGGAGCTCCAGGGGCTCAGTCCACGGGGCACTTGCTGGGGGCAAAGTTGGCATCCTCGAGGGCTTTTCATGGTAGGGGGCTTTGAATGGGGAACCCAGGAGATGCCACATAATCAGTGATGTCTCCATTTTGGTAGCTGGCCAGAAGCTGGGAGAGTGGGGTTTCCAGAGGCTGAGGCTTATGTGGCCATCCCTGCCCTACATGGGCCACTGTGACCCCATTCCCATCCTCACTGGGGCACACGGGCATCTGGGCAGAGCTGTGTGGAGGAGGGGGCCTGGGAAGGGGTCCAGTCGGGGCCAGACCCTGTGCTCCCTGTCCAGGTATGCTTCTGGCCATCCTGGAGAAGTGTGGGGCCATCCCCAAGATCCACTCGGCCCGCGTGTCGGTGGGTGAGGGCACCGTGGCCGCCGGCTACCAGGACTTCATCATCTGTGTGGAGATGTTCTTCGCAGCCCTGGCCCTGCGGCACGCCTTCACCTACAAGGTCTACGCAGACAAGAGGCTGGACGCGCAAGGTACAAGTCCGGGCCCTGGGAGACGCCTCCGCAGGACTCTCCCACCTCTCAGCATCCTACAAATGTGCTTGGGTCAGGTCATGGGATCCCAGTTTACACGTGGGGAAGGGGCTGGAGAGGTCAAGTTGAGGGGGTAGGACCAGGAGGGATTCATACCCTTGCACCAGGACGACCGTTTGGTCCCAGAGCTAAGCCCACTGTCTTCTGCAGCAGTTCTGAGTGTGGCCACCCAGAGATGTCATAGACAGTGGGGACAGAGACTCTAATGAACAGACAAATTCCCGAGGGCTTCTGACACCCAGCACTGTGCATGGTTACCCACTTTGTCCTATAATTTCCTCATCTTAAAAGTTCATTTTTTTCTTAAACAAAAAAGCTAATTACTTCTAAGAAACAGACTTAGATGGTAATAGCATTTAACAGCTCTCTTTTTACACCTGCTAATCTTCCTCCTTGCTAGAAGCATGGTTAGCAGCGCCAGCTGTGTAGGAAAATGCCCTGGAGAGCTTTAAAGTGCTGTGTCCAGCCCCACCCTCAGAGGTTCCTCCCTAACGGGGCTGGGCTGGGCGGACGGGAGAGAGAGCTCTCCCAGGAGAGCTCTGTGCTTTAAGAGCTCCCAGGGTGATTTCCTGCAGCCAGGGAAGTAGTGGGCCAGGAGGGCGGCAGCTGCCAGGCAGCGTGTGTGTGCCAGGGAGAAGGTTCTAGGAGGGTGAGGAAGAGGAGCCTGGGAATGTCTGAAACTGACTTACCCAGGGAGGAGACAGGAGGGACTGGGGAGAGGGCAGCCCCCTGGTCTAATACTTCCACCCAGGAGGCTGGCAGCAAGAACTCACTTCCCCAGGCCCCGCAGGCCCTGTGTGAGTGGTGTGGCGTGTAGCGGGCCCACTTCGCTCCTCCCTCTGCCCCTGTCCCTTCTCTGGCTGGGAAGAGGCCCTGAGATGCCTGTACAGGCTCTGTTCTCCCAACACATTCGCTCGCTGGGAGTCCTGGGTCACTTTTTCAGTCTTTGGTTGCACACCTACTCTGTGCCTGACCCTCTGCTGGCCAGGGCTTTCAAGCTGGTGTGCCCAGTTGGAAGCATCTAGCAAACACCCACCCAGTGTTGAGGGCAACCTCCCTTGGACCTGGTCTGGCAGAGCCTGTGCCCATGGCAACGTCACCTGTGGGTCTGGAGCCTGGGGCCACCCCAGGGAACAGGCAGGGCCATGCAGAGACCATTTCTGTACTGTGGGCTCTGCAGAGGTTCTCTGTCATCAGCCTGGGCCGTCCCCACGCTGCCCTCAGACAGATACACCTATCTTGGCAAGAAATGGCCTGGCCAGAGTACAGCCTAGCTGCTCGCTGGGGCCTGCCTCCCTGCTGTCCTTGGCCCTTTGGCCACCTTCTGCCGAGGGGCCCAGCCCCTCTCAGCCCTCAGGTTAGGCTTGGGTGCAAAGCCAGCTCTGCTGTGACTGCACAAGTAACTCCTCCCTCTGAGCCTCTGTTTCCTTGTCTGTGGAGTGTGGGGTTTGTAAAGCTCGTGGTGCACACATAGCTCCAGCCACGCCTGAAGAGAAGGGGAACGGGGTGTCCTGACTGAGGCCCGAAGGTGGAGTGCTGGCCACCAGGCGGGACAGGCCCTGTTGGCGTGAGCACGTGGGAGTCATCACGGCAGGCATGAGAGGGGTCATCCCTAGGTGGACGTCCTCCCCAGGCCCCAGGGGGCACCTGGAGCTGCTGGGTGCCTGGTGGGAGAGGGGAGGGAAAGACGTGTGGTATCCTGCCGGTGGGCCTTGGTGGTGGGCGCATGTTGTTCACTCAGCTGTCTCTTGTCTTCTCTATTTCTCTGCTTCTCTCCCCACCCCCCTTGCCCTGCTTTTGCCGCGGGCTTGGCCGTGGGCAGTGCCAACGTACGGCCCTTACGGTAGGTCCCGCCCTGGGTCTGCACGTCTGTCCTGCACGTCGGTTCTGGTCAGTGTCACTGGCATGCCCCTCTCTGTACGTAGTTCCTTCTCTGTGTCATCTCCTCCACGCAGAGCACCTGCCCGCCAAGGGCCACCCTCTGTAGAGCTTGCTGCTTCCATCCTGGTGTCTCATTCTGGAATATGCCCTGCTGAGTCCTGCGGGTGCAGGGCTCGTTTCCCGGATCTCGGCATTTAGCGAGTGATGTTTCCGTGGCAGAGAACGGAGGGCGGAAAGAGCGCACTGTTCGAGTCAGAAGGCCTGGGTTCCAGAGGTGGAACCTTACGTCTTGGCTAGCTAGCTATTTATTTATTTATTTATTTATTTATTTATTTATTTATTTATTTATTTATTTATGACAGAGTCTCACTTTGTTGCCCAGGCTACAGTGAGTGCCGTGAGCCTACCTCACAGCAACCTCAAACTCCTGGGTTCAAGCGATCCTCCTGCCTCAGCCTCCCGAGTAGCTGGGACTATAGGCATGCGCCACCATGCCCGGCTAATTTTTTTTCTATATATATTAGTTGGCCAATTAATTGTTTCTATTTTTAGTAGAGACGGGGTCTCGCTCTTGCTCAGGTTGGTTTCGAACTGACCTTGAGCAATCTGCCCCCCTTGGCCTCCCAGAGTGCTAGGATTACAGGCATGAGCCACCATGCCCGGCCTTACGTCTTGGCTTTGCGGCCTGGGCCATTCTCCCCTCTGAGCCCATGGGGACGATTCATGAGCGGATGAGGAGGAAGCCTGTCAGGGCGGGGAAGGGAGCCCGTGAGTCGTGTCTGCCCCCTGTGGGTGGGTGCAGGCCAGCCGGGGCCCGGGTCCTGTCTGCACGTTGGGGGGCAGGACCCTAGCACCTGTGGAGTCCCGGTCCTCCTGGCTGCCGGGCCCTTGTCCCCTGCACGCCCGACTTGAGTCAATGCTGAGCCTGTTTTGGCCTTTCTGGGGCATCCCGGATCCCTTCCTACTCGCCTGCCCCAGCTGCCAGTGACCTTTGACACCTGGCCACCCTTAGGGGCTGCCCCCACACCTGCTCCCTAGCCAAAGGAATCATTTCTTTGTCTGCCCCTCCTCTCGTCCCAGACCCCATTCTCTGCCCCTGGAGGAGAGGGTTGAATGGCAGCCTTGGGGTGGGGCGCTGTCCCAGCATGAGGGGCAGGGGCTGAGCCGCCTCCCTCTCGCCGCCCCCTGCCCTGCAGGCCGCTGCGCCCCCATGAAGAGCATCTCCAGCAGCCTCAAGGAGACCATGAACCCGCACGACATCGTGCAGGACGCCATCCACAACTTCTCGCCCGCCTACCAGCAGTACACGCAGCAGTCCACGCTGGAGCCCGCGCCCACCTGGCGTGGAAGCGCCCACGGCCTCTCACGCTCCCACAGCCTCAGTGGTGCCCGCGACAACGAGAAGACTCTCCTGCTCAGCTCTGACGACGAGTTCTAGGTGCAGGCTGCAGTGCGGGGTGCTGGCGCCGTGGCCGGAGGCAAGCTGTTCCCACCCCCAGGCTCACAGCCAAGCCAGGAGGCGGCTGGCACGGCTTTGGCGTTGCCCTGTATTTATTGGACCAGAAACACTCACATATCACTTCCAGAGGAACGGCCAGATGCTGTCTGCCCAGGGGGACGGGTAGGCTCTCCCACGAGCCTTCAGGAATATTCCTGCATGGCTGCCCCTGCACTTCCTGGGCAAGGGGCAAAGGACAGTGGAGCAGTTCCCACGCCCCTGCTGCTCGTGTTATGGCTGGGCATGCCGGGACCAGCTGTGCCCAGGCCAAGCGCCGTGTGTGGACCAGCGGCTGCAGCCTTCTAGACACCTCTTCCCCAAGAGACTCTGGGCTGAGGTTGGCAGGCCCCAGCCCACCCCCTACACCGTGCAATACTCTGACCTGGGCTCTTCCCGCCTGCTCCCCTCCCCTGTCCACCTTTGTCCCATGCTAGATTTGCCTAACCTCGGGCAGGAGGAGGAAATGGGGATGTTCTGTGGACCCCCCTCCTGACCCAGGCCGACTTGGCATGCTGCAAGGATCAGAGCCAGACCCCAAGAGCCATGGGTCCCACCTACGGAGAGTGCTCAGAGGCCCCTGGCCCCTGGGTGTCCTTGCCGTGGCTGCACCTCTGCCCACCTTATGCCCTTCCTCCCAGCCTACTGAGGACAGCCAGCAGCCCGCACTGCCCTCTCGCTTGGGGCCTTCCTCATGGTAGAGTTCTGGGGGGAGCCCTGTGCTGCTCAGGGCCTTCCCACCCTCCCTCCGAGGCCGAGCAGCCAGAACCTGTGCTGGCCCCTGGTCTCTCCCTGGGGCTTCTCCCTCCCGTTTCAGGGGAAAGGTCTGAGTTGCTACATTTCAGACCAGCGTCCAGAGGAAGAGAGTCCAGTGGGGAGGGTGGGAGGGATGGCCATGCAGCTGGGAGGTGGCAGCAGTGGTCCTAGACCCTTCTCCCGGGGCTCTGTCCACACAGGGTCTCCTCTGCCTCACCCCCCCGGCTCCTCTCTTCTGTGCCTTAGTCACATACAAAAGCTCCCTCCCTAGCCTCGGTCTGTCCCAGACACTCCTTGGGGGCTCCTTGCTAAGCTGCTGGCACTCAGAGGGTCCTGCAGTGCTGGGCCAAGAGCCCTTGGGCAGGCCTCCAGAGTGGCCAGGACCACCAAGTCCCCTTCGCTCACCCCTCCATGTTCATATACCTGGGGCCTCCCAGGGCTGGACCCCCAGGCAGGCCGGTCTTACCTGGCGCCTGGCTTAGGAAGAGGCTGGGCACAAAATGCATGTTCCTGCAGACAAAGCTTTCTGGCATTTAGCAGATAGTACTTGGGTTGAGGCTGCAGTTGCCTCCGGAAGTGGGTGGGGTGAGGGCGAGGGGCCCCTGCCTCTGGCATTCACCATGGAATCTTTCTTTTGGTCCCTCTTGGAATGAACAGGGTCCCTCTCTTGGATCTGTGACAAGGATCAGGTCCTAGCAATCTTCCTGGCCTCCCTCCTGCCCTCATGGCCAAGCCAGCCCTTGGGGGGCCCAGAGGCCTCCATGTTGGGTACCAGAGGTCAGTTCTGGGCGCCTGTCGGGGGTGTCTGGCCGGTGGGTCCCAAGCTACCCAGGAGGGCAGGGCAGTCGGGGGCTGAGGAGCAGCCCTGGCTCCCCCTGCATTTGATTTCTGAATCCGTTTCTCCAACTCGTTTTTCCTTTCTCCTTCAGGCCAAAGTGTGTTGCTGGTTCTGGCCCCCTTGGACCCTGCCTGCCCAGCACTGTCTGCTCGCATGGTGGGTGGGGGTGGGGGGAGCTTGGTGGCAGGAACTAGTGGTCCCTGGGGACACGGGGTCACGGGGTTGGGAACACCTGCCAGACTACTCCATTCCCTCCTTCCTAGGATGCATAACCTACCTTGTCTTTTTTTTTTTTTTTTTTCCAGATAGAGTAGCTCTTTGTACATAAAAGATACTTGAAAAATTAATTGTATGATGTATGAGAAGACAGAGTCCCCTAGTTTTGTATCTCGTTGTATGACTGCCATGAGTTCCACCGGAAAGCCGCTCTATTTTGGTCTCTGTGACATTTTAAATGCGTGACAGAAGTGAGCAAATAAAGTGAGGAAGAAATATATATATGAGATAATATAGATTGTATTGAAATCTCCTCTGCCTGTGGGTGAGGTTTCTTCCTTCCCCCGGCCGCTGCGTGTGTCTGGAGGTGGCTGTGGTGGCCGTGGGCAGGGTCCCCCTTCCTGTGTGGAACCTGCAGGCGATGGGGGCGCTCACATTGCCAGAGACTAACATCCGGGTCCAGGCCCTCCTCGGACAAAGTGCATCCCCGTCCCCCAGCCAGCTGGTCGCAGGGTCTCATGCCCCCACCATGTGAGGGGCTCTGTCCACCTGCTGGGTGGGCCTGCACCCTGGGGGCCGAAGTTCTCCCTAGGGTCTTCCTCTCAGACTCTCCCATCTCCCTGAGCCCATCCTCCCCCCCACCCCACCCCCGACTTTGGGGGCAGTGTCTGCCCACCAGGCTCGGTGCCTGGCCTCCGGGGCACTTCCCTCCACCGCAAGCCTCCCTGGGCCTGGCCTCCTGCTGACAGGAGCACTCAGGAATGCAGCGTGGGTGGGGGACAGTCCCAGCCAGCCTCTAACCTTGAGGTAAATAGCTGGCCCATCCCGAAGCTTCCTGCCGCCTGAGCTCAGCATTTCAGGATCACAGGGCCGGGCAGGGAGGCCCAAGGCTCAGCCTGAGATGGGGAGAAAGCCCTATGGACCAGCCAACCCATGCAGTTTGGCCAGTTCCCAGATGCAAGTCCGGCACCTTCCACACAAACTGGTCCCTAGCCCCACCATCTCGCCGTACCCAGCCACCGGGTCATCCTCACTTCGTCCGTGCTGCTGTACACGTGGGTCCTATGTGTTAAAGCTTGCGGCCCTGCAGGCCTCTGGGGCTTGTCATGCCTCTGATCTCACAGCACCTTTATCTTCCGGATGAGTAAACTCAGGCTGCAAGAAACCAAATAAGTACCAAAGACCCCACAGCCAGGAAAAGACACACCTAGACTCAAACCCTGACTGCCCTGACCTGCAGACCACAGTACACTCGGCTCCTTCTCAGGGTCCCCCAGAAGGGCTGGCAGGTCGGGTTGGAATTAGTGAGTCTGGGGCCTGGGATGAGACACAGGGTTACGTTTTAGTCCTGCAGGCTGGGACTGAGGAAGCCACTTGCTCCCCATCTCCCTATGCCTTCTGGAACATGGGGAAAATGTTTCCTACTTGGCTGTAGAAAATCAGACCTCAATGTGAAAATGCTGGAAAGATTACTCCAAAACCTGAGGTTTTTCCTCTCTGGGTGGGACTGCTTGGTCACTGAAGGGAAGCCCAGGGAATTTAACCCTAAATTTCATTATGCTGGTGGCTTTGCCATCCCCAAGGAGGCTCCGGGCTCTAGGCAGCCAGATGGAAGGACCAAAGTTCCAGCACACTGTTCCCCAGCCTGCCTCTACTCACTCACCCCCCGAACTCCAGAGGTCCTGACTGGGACTGGAACAAAACCCCATCTTAGGCCCCTCATTCAGAAGGCACACACACAAAAACAGCCCAGAACATACACTTCTCTGTGGGAAAAGAATTTGACTTTATTCAGAAAGTCTACAAAATACAGAAGGCGGATAACTCGCTCGCTGTAAGTCAGGAAATAAATAAATTCTAGGGCCCAGGCAATTTTTATAAAACATTTTTTTTGTTATTGCCATCGGTTTTCCCTAAATATAAGATAAAATGTGATTTATTTGCAGGTATAAAATATAAAGTCCAGCTCAGGGCCACAAGCCACTTTTCCAGGGAGTGGGATCTAGGGCTCTGGCTGGGGAGAATAACTTAGATTCGTGCAATAAATAGTGGGGAGGGGCAGCTGTATACAGTGTTGGGGGAGGGGCTGGGGCCCGGCTTCCAGGAAAATGGCAATCATTGGCTGCAGCCTGCCCCCATCCCACAGTGGATACTCACAGGGTCCAAGTGGGACCCTTACTTCCAAGGACCCTACTCCAGGCCGTAGGACCACAGGATCTGCCACAGCAGTCGCCACCATGGTCCTCTTTCTCTCTGGCTGGCTGTCTCCAGGGCACCCTGACTGCAGGGAGAGCCCAGGGCTGAGCCAGGCCAGCTCCTTCCCACCCGTCCATCCGTGTCACCTTCTCTGTCCCTCTGCTTCTTGCCCTTCCCTTGCAGAGAGCCATCTCCCAGGCCAGGGGGGCCCTCTCATCAACTTTTCAGTCCTGCCCACCGTTCCACAGTTGGAATCTCAGGGCAGCAGTAAGACACTCAGCTTCTGGTTCCAGCTCAACTACTAAGTGGTGTGCGGCCTCGGGTCCGCTGCAGGGCTGCCTCCCCATCAGTTAACTGGGCTCCACTAGTCGATTCTAACCCCTCTCCTAGCTTTGGAAAGCCAGGCGCCTCCACACCCAAAGCAGGGGTGGGAGAATCTCTTCAGTGCAGTTTCCCAGCAGGACAGCCAGACTGAGTCCTGAGTCCTGGGACGGTTTGAGGGCATATTGGCACATTCAGAGCCATTTCCAAAATGAGGGATGCCCTCGTTTCCCCCCGACAGCTCTTCTCTGAGCCAGCTTTGTATCCCGTTCTTACCAATCTAAGAAGGCTGAACTTTCAGCCAAGGGCGACTCCAGATCTGGAACCTCAATCCCCCACCACCAAGATTGCCCCTTCCTAGGACCATTAGGTCCCAGTTTCAGGGGCTACACGAGGAAGACAGGACCCCGGGAGGGAATGTGTGTTTATCACAGGGGCTGGCGGCTGCAAGAAATGGGACCTGGGCACAGAGACTGCTCAGGCACTTTGGGAAGAGAGATGCGGTCGGAGGGGCGTGGCTGGGGGATGGGGCGTGGCTCGGGGGAATGGGGCGGGCGGGGCGGGCACTAGGAGCAGGCGGCCGGGCCGGGAGCGGGGTCTGGGCCGGGGGCGGGGCCAGACCCCGGGCTTGGGGTGGACTTGACGATGGTGATGACGCTGGCGGGCGCCACGAGTGCGGCTGGCCCGCGGGCCGCGGCCACAGAGCGCGCGAAGCCCTGCAGCGCCTCGCACTTGCCGCGCAGCGCGTCGAGCTCCAGGCGCATGGCCGCGTTCTCACGCGCCAGCTTGTCCACCTCGCGCTCCAGCTCCGACTTCTGCTTCTGCAGCTCCTCCTTCTGGCACACGCGCTTCACGCGGCAGCTGGCGGCGTAGCCGCGGTTCTTGAGCGTGCGGCGTCGCTGCTTGAGACGCGTCACCTCCTCGGCCGAGAGCCCCCGCAGGTGTCGGTTCAGCTCCCGCACGGACAGCCCCATCAGCGCCTCGTCGGACAGGTGTGGCGTGTTCTCGCTCAGCTCGCGCTTGATCTGCGGACATGGGGAAACTGAGGCCCGGGGCTCACTCCTGCCTGTGGGCCAAGTCCTGGGCCCAGAGCGCAGCAGGTGCTGGGATGCCCTCCTCTGCCCCCCGTGCTCCACTTCACCGCCTTAGCCACTGAGGTGGTGGCTGGACTTGATCCAAGCCCCCGAAGGGGAGCAGGAATCCGGAAAGGGGAAACTAGGCCAAACCAGGATCAGAACATGAAAAGAGGCCACCCCAGGGCTTGGCCTGAATTCTAACCTAGCGCAGTGCTGGACTTAGCCAGAGAGTCCTAGGCCAGAAAGCACCTGTGGATGTCCCAGTGGGCAAAGACCCCATGGGGATGCAGGCCCAGAGAGGGAAGTGACCTGCCCAGAGTGCACAGCCTGTGACCAGAGCCCAGCCCTCCTGCTTCCCAGCTCACGGCTCTTCCCTTTGGCATCCTGAATGCCTGGTGCCTGCTGAGCCACCCTTGGTGATTCCAGGAAGGGAAGTGGCAGCTGGGATGGCAAGGTCTACATGGGCAGGGAGGGATGGCTTCACTGGGCACAAGAGGTGCTGCCTCCTCACCTTCAGAGCTTTGCCGGACAAGGGGTCCCCAGACATGTTTGCAGAAGGTGCCCTCTGGGCTGGAGACCTAGAGGAGAAAGGAAGTCAAAGTCACGTTTTTTTCCCCCTCCACTTAGAATAAAATCCAAACTCACTACCTTGGCATTCAAGGCCCCTGCTCTCTTAGAACTCATCTCATACCTGCCACTTTCCTCTGTCCACATTGGTCCAGCCAGAGCGGCCTCCTTGAATGGCTCATTCCAGCCTCAGGACCTTTGCACTTGCTGTTCTCCTCACTGTTCTCCTATCTCTCCATAGTGACTCCTTATCATTTAGGTCTTTGCCCAATGCCACCTCCTCAGAGAGGTCTTCCCTGACATCCTGGCTATAAAGCCCTCTTGTGTCACATCACATAACCCCAGTTATTAACCCTCCTAACAGCCACCTCTTCTGCAGTTCTTATGTTTGGTTCCTCTCTCCCTCCCACCCCTCTTCTACCTAAATGTAAGCCCATGAGGGCAGAGGCCTTGTCTGTCTTCCCACAGCATCAATATGCCTAATCATCAGTGCTTGGCATATAGCAGGTGCTCAATATATATGCACCAAATGAATGGACGCCCCTCCCCTGGCCATTCTTCCACATGGGGCTCAGATGTGTGTTTCATTTGGTTTTTAAAAACTTTTCATTGAAGTATAACCTACATATAGAAAAATGCACAAAACATATGTGTTCTGGTCAATGGCTCACGAAGTCCAATCAGCACCCTGTCAAGATACAGCACAGCCAGTCCTCTCCCATCCCCAATCCTCCCTCATCCAGACCTGTGTTGTAGGAAAGCTTCCCAAACTGCTGGGGGCGCCATGCCTAGACTGATGAGGTCCCATTGGCCCAGTGCCTCCCCCACAGCATGGAAACCTCATGGTCACTCAACAACTATTTCTTGAGCAGCTACTATTTGCCAGACATGTGCTTGGCACTGAGGAGACAGAAAGGAATAAAAACTCAGGGAGGGTACATTCTGGGGGCCAATGGTCGTTGCTAAAGCTGAAGAGAGAGTTGTAGCCCAAAGGCTCTGTGACAGCAGCTGCCCCCTCAGTCCCCAGCTGGTCCGATCTCCTCCCGCATTCCGTGTGACCCGGGGTTTTCTCATCTGACAGTTCCTAGGGGGGAGGGGCGGTGGGAAACACAGAGCCAAGGCCGATGCTTGTGGTCTGCCAGGCAGCACCCTGCAGCCTCGTGCAGGATCAGCAGTGCCCAGTGCACAGAGGGCAGGGGCAAAAGCCTGGAGCCAGGCCCTGGCTCCTTGAGCTGTCTGTGGGGCTGACCTCACACACCTGGCAGGACCAGGTGTTTCCCAGGGACCGCGTGGAAGCACGGGGACCTTGGTGCCAGACCCGCGTGGGCCAGTTGTGGGATTCTGGTCGGTCAGTGACCCTCTCTGTGCTTTGCTTTCCCCCTGGGTGACACAGGGGAGTTTCATGGTAAGGCAGATCACATCACACCTCTCTCAGGACCGTCCCATGGCTCCCATCTCACTCAGAGTAAAGACAAAGTCACTGTAGAGACCCACAAAGTGCTGCGGGATGCGCCCCCAGCACTGGCCCCTCTCCCTTCAGCCCTGCCTGGCTCCCCCTCGCCCGCTCTGCCCCAGCTGCACGGCCTCCTTGCTGCTGCTCAAACGCACCGCGCATGCTCCGCCTCAGGGCCTTTGCACTGCCCGTTCCCTCTGCCCGCCGTCCTCATGCCCACGGAGCCATGTGGTTTGCGTCCTCACCTCAGGCCGCTCTTCAAATCTCAGGTCCACTCAATTTAGGATTCCCAACCCCGGACACCCACACACACACCCATACACACACACGCACGCACGCACACACACACACTCTCCCTGTGTCCCCTCCGTACCTCACCTCTCTCCGTGGCACCTTTCGCCCTGTGCCATGACTGCCGCTCACATACATGGCACACATCTGTTCCGTGTCGGTCTCCGCCCGCGCCATGAGGGCAGAGGCTCTCCCGTCCACTGCTGCCTTCCAGTGCTTGGGACAGCGCCTGACACAGCGGACGCTCAAGTAACAGTCACCGAGTTCTCAGTGTGACTCAGGCCGAGGTGGGGACTGTCCACGGCTTCTCAGGAAACCCCCCAGCCCCTCCAGCCCACGCAGTCGGGGTCTGGCTGCTCAGAGGGAAAGAAAGAGGGGACAGGAAGGGGAAGTTGGCACTTCAAGCCATCCCCTGACAGAGGCAGCCGCTGTGGCCCTTGGGCGGGGAGGGTCTGGAAAGGCACCCAGGTTCTTGGGGCTGCTGGGGGAAGCTGAGGCCCAGAGCACAGGTCAGGCCTCGGACACCTCTGGACTTGTGCCCATCCTTGGCGGGACGGGGGTGAGGCTCGTTTCATGGGTTGGAGCCCTGAGCCGCAGCCCCCAATGCTGGACATGCAGGCTCAACTGGGCTCTGGCCTCAGTTTCCCTGCCTAGCGCTCCAACCCTACAAGGCTTAGGCCCTGCTGCCTGCCTGGCTTTCCCCCTTTCCTTGGGGGCCGCTATACGCCCCGGCCCTGCTCGGACAAATCAGGTGGGTCTGCAGGGTGCCCTCTCAGAGACACTGCCTGGACATGTTCACGCACCCCCACTGACCCCACCCTCAGTGCAGGCTCTTAAATGGTCGCCTTCCCCTCGCCACACACCTGGGGAGGTCCCCACATGCCCCCCACACCCGCCGGCCTCCGTTCATCATCGCACAGCAACTGGACGATCTTTCCAGCAGACCATGCCACCTCCCAGATTGAAACCTTCCATGGCTCCCTGCTACCCTGAGGACAGAGTCCAGACCAGCCCTCTGGGCACCCCAGGCCCCGCGTGTCCAGCCCCAGGCTTGTTTCCTGCCACCACCACCTCCGTTCTGAGCTTCAGCCACAAGGAATTCCTTTCACTTCCTCCCACACGCCCCAGGACATGCCTCTGCTCTCCTCCCCCCCTACTTTGTCTGGCAGACTCCTACTCACACTGCCCTGGCTGTAGACATCTCCTCCTCCAGGAAGCCCTCCCTGACCCCTAGGACTTGTTAGGCACCTCCCACCCTGGTGTGGCAATGCGTTGCATTTCCTTGTCTCTGCACCAGACAGGGAGCTCCTCGGGCAGGGGCCAGGCTGAGTCAGCTCTGGGTGCTTGAGGCCACCCAGCACAGGGCCTGGCAGGACGCAGGCACTGGGGCGTGGGGGAGGGGGAAGTCTCTGCTACCGTCACCCAGCTGTTTCGTGTCCAAACCTAGTTCCAAGCCCAAGCCTAGCTGAGCACAGCCTGAGAGGAAAACCTCCTGGCCCTGTCTCTAATTCTCCCTCCTTTCCAGCTGCCTCCTTGCTTCTGCTTGGCAGAGATGGCACAGCTGCTGGGAGAACGGAGGGGAACAGAAGGGATCCTAGGCACGTGGCTTTTGGCCCCAAGGTGGAGTGAGGGAAGCAGGGAAAGGGGCACTAGATTGGGAGTCAAGCCTGGGTTCAAGTCCCATCTGTTTTCTCCATGCTGAGTGACCTTGGGCGAGCTGCTACACCTCTCTGGGTCTCCACTTTCCCATCCATAGGATGGAAACAATATCTGCCTCGCAGGGTTGTGGTGGGAAAAGGGGTATAACCCGTACGGGTCAGTGAGTAGCCAGGAGGTTATTAGAGTTGCTGAGTCCGTGCAGGAGGGCTCAGGCCCACAGCCAGCACTGGGATCTTCTCCGGCTCAGCACCTCTCAGCTGGCCGGGGTCAGACAGGGAAAGGCAGGAAAGGCCCTTAGAGACCATTGGCCCCCTCCTCACTTTCCCCAAGGGGAGGTGGGGACCCAGAGAGGGGCATCGCTTGCCTGAAGTCACACAGCAGGTGAGTGGCTGCCTCCCCACACATGGGGAGGAATTCTGAACACCTGTAGAGGCCCAGGCCTGAATCCTGATCCTATCACATTGTCACCTCCTTGGTCCTCCCAACAACTCTGTGAGGTAATGCCCAGAGAGGGCCCTAGAGGAGTCCAGGGTCACACAGCCAGCAAGGGAATTGAGGCAACCTGCCCAGGCCCCGTCTCCCTGCCCGCGTGAAGGGGAGTCTGGACTTGCCACTTTCCAAGGCCGCCCAGCTCTGATGTGCCAGGATCTGTGTTGGGCCTGCTGCGGACACGCATGCACGTGACACTGAAATGTGCAGGACCGTTTGCCAGCTGTCGGGGCGCTGGCGTGCCGAGTGACGCCTGTGCAGTCTGAACCACACGGATAGGCCTGGCGGGGGAGCGGGTGTGAACTGAGCGCCTGTGGGGGCCGCGAGCTGCGGCGGATGCAGACGCTCAGAGGCATGGCCGGCTCCTCGCACAAGTCAGTCTTCCTCTCTGGGCCTGGGGTCCTCACTCGTAGAGTGGGGATGATCATAACAGTATCAGTGTGGGAAATACAAGAGGCTTAGACGAGATCAGGAGGTGCAGGTGGTCAGCCCCTGTCGCCATCACCCCTCTGTCCACTCTCAACACTAGCCAATCACAGCGCCCATTCCCAGTGGTGGGCAGCCCCTGCATCTTTCTCAGCACAGCACTGCTTTCCATGGAGCTTGGACGCAGCCTCAGAATCCTTCTCAACACCGCCTGTAGCGTAGACCTCAGAGGTGGAACTGCTGGCCATTCCCTACTCTGGAGAATGGCGAAGCTGTAACAGCTGTGATTCTAACTGCCCTCCGGCCCTAGTAAGGCTTGGACCTGCTGTGCCCTCCTGTCCTCCATGCCCTCCACTCCTAGCCTCAGCCCCCTCAACTGGATGTCAGCTGAGGCACCCACGTTTGCCCAGAATGTCCTCGCTCAGCAAAGTCAGGCAGCCACAGAGGGAAAGTCACAAGAAGGGGGAACTTTCTGATAACCTCAGGCTTTTGGCCTCCAGCCCCAGGCCAGGGGCTGCTGGGTTGTAAGCAGGGGGGGGGCTGGGTCCCCCGCCTCTGCCCGTCTGACTGCCCCTGGGCCTGCAGCTGCTCCAGTCCCTGTTCTGCACTGGAAGCAACCACGCAGCTGTTTGGTGGCACTGGTGGACCAGAACCTGGGGGTCCAATCCGTGGCTCAGGCTCTCTCTTTGATGCCCGGCACCAGCACCCCTCCCGGCTTCTTCCCCTTCCCTCGCAAGCCGGCAGAGCTGACTCCAGGGTCTGCAGGTTCCTGATACTCTCTGGAGGCATGGGGAGCACTCTTACTCTTGGGGGACAGACAGCTGCCTTGTCCAGTCAGTGGCTACAGCCCTTCTACGTCCCCCTCGCGGGGCCCCCGGTCCATCCCCACCCACTGGCATGGGCTCCTCCTGGCTGCTGAGCCATTTTGCTTGATCTGTGAGGACAGAGGGAAAAAATGTGTTTTCCTGGGTCTTGGCAGTTCGCACTGGTGGAGCCTCCTCCCTGCTGGCAGGGGAGCAAGGCCAGGGGAAGCGAGCACTGCAGGGAAGCAACGGTCTGGGGCTCCAGCCCCAGGTCTGCCGCCCACTCACACTTGCTGTGTGACTTCAGGCACAACACTCCTTTGCTCTGGGCTCAGTTTCCCAACATGCAAAACCTCCTCTGAGCCCACGGTACCTTCCAACAACGACGATCTCCAAGTTTATAGTGTCAGATTCTGGCCCAGAGCTCCAAGACCACCAGCAGAGTGGAGGCCCTGGAAGAAGGGGAAGGAAAGCAGAGGACACAGACCCCCAGACCATCGGCCTTGACCGTCCCTCGGCTCCACGGCACAGCCAGGGACCACTTCCTCTTTCCTCTGGCCCAGGACCACAGCACCTGCTCGCTGGCCTCCATCTCCAACCCTCACCACCGATCCTCCCCCAAGGGCTGTCGGAGGCGTCGTCTCTGACGCAAACCCACAAACCTGACCATGTTTGGCCCATTTCAAACCTTGCAGTGCGGCTCTCCCCAGCCCACACAGTGGGACCCTCAGGCTCTGCTACGTCCCCGCTCCCAGGATCACATGCTGACAACAGATGAACGAACAGGCATTCCACTGTCCCTGCATGTTTCCCACAGGGACACACAGGCAGTGCCTGTGTGTGTGTGTGTGTGTGAGGGAGGAGGTCACCTGAGCTCTGAAGGACCTGCTCACTTTGGGAGACTGCTTCAAGGATCCTCCAGCCCTGGCCCTGGCTTCCTGCTTCCCTGGGATCCCCAGGCCTTTTTCTCCCTGTGTCATGGAGCTCTTCAAGGTCATGGACCGAGTGCTCATTCATTCAATCAAGCAAACATCCAAGAAGCACCTACTGTGTGCCAGGCTCTGTGCCTAGTCCCGAAGGCCCAAAGATGAAAGCTCCTGCTCTCAGGGCTTCCTAGATATCACCACTCCATCAGACTGGGCTCACTAGTCACCTCCGCAGGGAAGCCTTCCTTGATTGCCCTGGCTAAGGCCTGATATATACTCTCAAACCACAGTGACTTCTCCCTCACACCACCCATGGAGCTGTGGTTCTCTTCACCTTTGTCTCCCCTGTTCAGCTGCGAGCTCCCAGAGGGCCGTCTCTCCACCTGGCTCATTCGTGGTTTCATCCCCAGCATCTGGCCACAACCCAGGCCCGGTGGCACCGTAGGGATAGAAACATCAGGACTGAAGGAGCCCGCTGGGTCCTGGGCCCTAGAGAGCCCCGGGGTGATTCAATGGGAGGTCAAACCTTTCAGTGCTAACTTTCCATTTGTGACTGAGTCAACAGCCACTTCCTCTCAGCCCCTGACCCTCACCCTGCTTGGGGATGTTTCCTGCCTGGCTTTGAGGATGGGCCCGCCTGGTTCCTGCACTCCTGACTGCAACCCCCTTCACTCAAAGCCCACATACTCCTGGAAAGCCCAGGCTCCTGGCTTGGGAGGTCCTGGCCTAGTTCCAGCTGTAGATGGGGACATCTGCAGCTCACCAGGGCTCGCAGAGTCAAAGTTAAAAGATCACGGGTTCCTCGCCCTAGCAAGCTCAAGTGCTCTGTGGGTGGGAGGAGGGGGAAGGTGGATTAGGAGTAAGGAAGCCCTAGTCTCCAGCCCATCCTTCAGGCTGCTGGGCTAAACAGGTGCTTTCTGCAGGGCTGCTGGGTAAGCGGATGGGTAGGGCTGGATCAGTTGCCACCCCTTCCACATTAACCCTTCCACCTGTAAGAGCGCCTATCCCCAATGCCAGGTGACCCTGCCTGGCTCTGGGTGAGGACTCTGAGTCTGCCAGCTGGCACAGGTCCTCAACTAGCTTCTGGGGTCCAGCTGTCAATAGGTCCCATTTGACTAGTCCCATCTATGAGCTGAAACTACCTGGAGGGCAGAAACCAGCTCCCCCTCATCCTCTGCAACCCAGTATGTACAGCTTCCAGAACCCAGACTAGCCAGAGTGGCCACCCAAGAGAGGAAGCCTGGGATTCCCTCCCTCCCCCCACCTTTGACGTGGATTTTCTGGCCCTTCCTGTTTTTCCTGAGACTTGAGAGGATGGACAACCGTGTGGATGAACAAGAGTCCCCAGAGTCCTCTCTCCCCAGGGAGCCCCCAAACCTGGGGACAAGAATCTGGGCTCCAACTCATTCTGTTACCAGATCCACCAGGGTGCTGGACGAGGGGTGCCTCCCTCACCTCATCCCCAGCTCAGCTGGGTGAGGTCTGCAATACCTCGCCCCACCCTGTGGCCGGCTTGGGCGCGGGACAAACGCTGGGGTCACATGGTGGCCGCCCTGGGAAACTCCGCAGAGAGCGGAGGCCTGGCAGCGCTGGCTGGTAAGAAAGAGGACGCCCGGGGCGAGAATTCGCGGCCCCAGGGTGACCACGGACCTGTCGGCTTCCTTTGCTCGGGTCCTTATTCCGCGTTTACTGCTGTGGACAGCCCGGGACACGCCCTCTCCGAGGTAAACACCGCGGGTACAGGCCCCAGGGAGCGCGCGCGGACACGGACGGACGGACGGACACGCACACACACCACACACACACACACACACACACACGCACACGCGCGCCCGGGTGCACCGCGCACCACCGGGCAGGACAGGCAGGACGCTCGCCAGGGAACACACACCCCGCCCGCCTGCCTCAGACGTAAACAAACCGCGCACGCACGGCCCGCGGGCCCGGGGCCAGGGACTGTTCTCACCGAGTCACGTACGTGCACACACCGCCCCGGCCCCCGCCCGGCGGACGCTGACGCGCGCCAGCCCGCGCTGCCCCTTCCTCCGCGCCCGCCGCCTCCCGCCCGCGCCTTGGGAAGGGGCCCGTCTCCACCCCCGCCGAGCGGCGGGCGCGTCTCGGTGCCCCCGGACCGCGGCTCGCTTCCCGCACGCAGCCGTCCCGCGACGGATCCAGGAAGCACCGACGGACGGCGCCCGGCGCCGGCCCCAGCCGCGGCCCGGCGCGGACTCCCTGCCGCCTCGGTTCCCGCGTGGCGTCCCCGTCCCGACCCGCGTCCTCACCCGCCTCTCGGCTCGCTTGGCCTGGCGCGCCTCGCACGCGCGTCTCGCGGCTGTCGCGGCCGCTGTCCCAGCGCGTCCCCTGGCCCGTCTCCCTCCGGTCCGAACCGAACCACAGGTCGCTCCGAGCCCGGCTGCCGGGAGCGCGGCGCTGAGTTTTGTTGTGGGCCGGGCGGCGCAGGGGGCCGGGGCCGCGCGGAGTTGTAAGGCGAGCTTCCCGGAATTACTCACTCACAGGATTCCTTTCATTCATAAAAACCCAGTCATGCGGTGACGTCACCGCCCCGGCCGCCCCCCGGCCGCGAGAGGCCGCCCCGGCCGCCCGCGAGCGCGCGCCGCCGACAGGCCCCCGCCGCCCGACCAGGCCGCCCGACCAGGCCAAAAAAAAAAAAAAGCCCCGCAGGCCCCGCCCCCGGGGCCCAGGCTGTCTTGCTCGGCCGGGATGCTCAGCCCTGCTCCAGCGCTGGCTGGCTGCGTTCACACGACCCCTCGCGAGGCCCGTGGGTGGAGGTGTCGTTTGCCTCGTTTTACAGTCGATGGTCCCGGGCCTCTCCTTGCTTTTCTATGAGCCCCGGGTTTGTATTTCCACAGCGAACAGCTTTCCTGAGATCTAGACTCCGAGCCGACTGCCCCACTCTGCGCCTCCGGTGGGCGTGAAACGGGCACTGCAAACGCGACACGGCCAAAGTCCAACTCCTTGATGGCCAGCCCTACCTCCGCGCCCCTCTTCACCCCATCTCAGCTGTCCAAGCCCAAACCTTAGAGCCTTGCTGCGTCCCTCGTTCTCCCTTCCTGCCCGCCCCATTACACAGGCCAGCTCTGTCTCCTCTCCAACGGTCTCCTGCGTGGGACCCCTTCTGCCCGACTCCAGCCCTACCACCTGGCCCGGGCACCGGCAACTTACCTGGACAATGGCAGCAGCCTCCCGACAGTCTCCCCGCTTTACTCCTAAAGACTCTCTTCATACAACAACCAATGTTCTCAAAACAGAGATCAGATTGCTTACATACTTCCTCTGGCCTCTCCCCCCTCACCTGCTACTCTTCAGCCGTAGACCCTGTCTTTCTGTTCCCCAAACACACCAAGCTCATTCCTGCCACAGGCCCTTTGCACTTGCTGTTTCCTCTTATGTTCATTTGCCTGGCTCTTTCATATTTCAGGTCAGCTCAGATGTCACCACCTCAGAGAGGCCTTTCCTGATCACCCTGGCTATAGGAGTCTTCACCTCTGAAATTGTTCTCGTATTACCTCAATATTTTCATAGGATATTTCCTTGTTTATGTCTGTGCTTACTGTTTAGTGTCTATCTTCCCCAACTGGAATGTAAGTTTTATGAAGGTAGGAGCTTGTTTTATTAAAAAAATTTTTTTTTGTAGAGACAAGGTCTCACTATGTTGCCCAGGCTTGTCTTGAACTCCTGACCTCAAATGATCCTCCCACCTTGGCCTCCCAAAGTGCTGGGATTACAGGTGTGAGCTGCTCACCCAGCCGGACCTTTTTTATCTTGTTCACCACTGCATGTGCCTAGAATAGTGTTCAGCACATAGCAGGCCCACAATAAATGCATGTTGGAAGAATAACTGAGTGGAGGCTCAAAGACGTGAAGTGGCTTTCCAAAGTCACTCAGCTAGGAAGTCCTAGGACTGGAATTGGAATCCTGGTCTGAAGGATTCCCGGTCCAGGCGTCTGGCGTGAGGAAGGGCGTAGATGTGAGGGGTTTGCACCGTGGCTGGGACCCCGCCCACAGAGGTGGCTTTGGGAGCAACACAGGGGTGTGTTGCAGCTCATTGTCCTTTTCCTTTGCCCACGCTGTCCTCACTGCCTGAAGTACCCCACTCCACAGCCAGCTCTTCTGTGGGGCTGCCACATCACAGACTCCCTTTTTCTGTGGAGGGCTCGGGACTTCTCCAGACTGAAGGCCTTTGTGTGGCGCCCTGGCCCTTTCCTTTGATGGGGTGAATTCGATTTCAGAGCCCTCATCACACTTTCCTGCCTCTGGGCCTGGCATTGTGACACCTATCCCTTACCTCCTAAAGGCCTTGGGTTTTGTAGGCAGATGGGTCCGCTAGCTTCCCGAGTGAGTGACCAAATGTCAAGGCAGCTTTGTCTAGCACTCAAAACAATCCCCAAAACTGAATGCTCACTGCCCTCCATTTGCATAGCTAAAAGAGCCGCTCAAGTTACCGCTTTGGGTACAAAAGTTCTCAATTTTAGAAAACTGCACAATTGTGAGTTGTCTATCTTCTGCATTCCCACTTTCTATAAGCTTTTCAAGAGCCAAGGCCAAGCTTAGAACATAGTAGGTGCTCAACTAGTAAACAAATCCCCAGGGGACCTGTCCAACACTCCTGAACACCACGCTGCCTGGATTCTTTGCTCCCATGCCCAGCCTGCGGGAACAAGGGGTCAGTGCCCCACCCTGCAGGGACTGCTTCCCACAGACACGCTCCCTTTCTGGTCAAGGTCAAGGGACATGGTGCAATATTGTATTTATTTCATTTATTTTTATTTCAAAATATTAAGGGGGTACAAATGTTTTTGTATTTAAAAGTGGGGGGGGGCTCTCTGGTTGAAAAGGCTCCCCTGGCCAAATCTGGGAAAATTTGAGCATCAAGATAAATAAGGGTAATAAAGGCTTATAACCTGTTTTTTTTTTTTTTTTTTTGTTTTTGATACAGAGTCTCACTTTGTTGCCCAGGCTAGAGTGAGTGTCATGGCATCAGCCTAGCTCACAGCAACCTCAATCTCCTGGGCTCAAGCGATCCTCCTGCCTCAGCCTCCCAGGTAGCTGGGATTATAGCATGCGCCACCATGCCTGGCTAATTTTTTCTATATATTTTTAGTTGGTCAATTAATTTCTTTCTGGTCAATTAATTTCTTTCTATTTTTAGTAGAGATGGGGTCTCGCTCAGGCTGGTTTTGAACTCCTGACCTCGAGCAATCTGCCCGCCTCGGCCTCCCAGAGTGCTAGGATTATAGGCGTGGGCCACCACGCCTGGCCATAACCTGTTCAATATGATGAAAATCTAGGAGTCCCTACTGCTATAAATAAGTAAACAAATAAACACATAAGGGAGAAGCAGAAAGAATGATGGGGGCAGAAAGTGACTATCCTGCAACCACCATAGTAATGATGCATTGCAACAACAGTCATCAATGGATATGAAAACTTGACAAGAAGTAAGATATTTACATAGTTTCAAGATATTTCCTCACAAGACAATTATTAATTTTGGAGGGAAAAGTAACTCTCCAGTGGAGAAATTCGACAGATAGAACCTTCACTAAGTGATCAAAGTCAGTGTGCTAAATGGCCAGGAGGTTTGTAGCTTAGGCAATAATGTCATACCCATGCTTATCTCCTGTTGTTGATGATTGTCCTGTGGTCACGTAAGAGAACGTGTCCTTGATTGTAGCAAATACGCACTGGAGTATTTAGGGTTAAAGCGGTCTCGTGTCTGCAATTTGCTGTGAAATGGTTCTGAAGAAAACGTGCAGATAGAGAGTGTCATGTGCTTAAGTGTGTCCCCCTGAAATGTGTGTGTTGAAGTCCTAACCCCTGAACATCTCAGAATGTATTTGGCGATAATGTTTTTTTTTTTTTTTTTTTTGAGACAGAGTCTCGCTTTGTTGCCCAGGCTGAGTGAGTGCCGTGGCGTCAGCCTGGCTCCACAGCAACCTCCAATCTCCGGGCTCAGCGATCCTACTGCCTCAGGCCTCCCGAGTAGCTGGGACTACAGCATGCGCCACCATGCCCGGCTAAATTTTTGTAATATATTTTTAGTTCGTCAATTAATTATTTCTATTTTTGGTAGAGACGGGGTCTCGCTCAGGCTGGTTTCGAACTCCAGACCTCGAGCAATCTGCCCACCTCGGCCTCCCAAAGTGCTAGGATTACAGGCGTGAGCCACCACGCCCGGCCTGGTGATAATGTTTTAAAAGAGGTAAGTAAATTAAAAGAAGGTCTTTAGGGTGGGTCCCCATGCTATCTGACCAGTGTCCTTACAAGAGGAGATTTGAACAGAGAGACAGGAGGGTGTGCACACAGACAAAGACCACACAAGGTCACAGTGAGAGGCAGCCGTCTGCAAGCCACTGAGAGAGAAACCAACCCTGCCGATGCCTTGATTGCAGGCTTCCAGCCTCCAGAGCTGGGAGGAAATAAATTTCTGTTGTTGAAGCCACCTGGTCTGTGACTTTTTGTTACAGCTGCCCTTGCAGACTGATACAGGTGGACAGGAGTTTTGTAAAGCAGTATGGTGTGATGAGGATATGATAAAATATTCACATTTGGAGAAACTTGATGAAGAGCATAAAAAAATTCTCTATTATTCTTGCAATTTTTAAGTTCAAAATTATATCATAATGGAAATATTTTTGTTGTTGTTTTAAAGTAGAGACTCTCAAGTCAGTCTATAGGTTCAAATCCTGGCCCCACCCTCACTAGCTGACTTCATCCTCATCCTCTGTAAACTGGCCCTGATAATAGTGCCTGCTTCACGGGTTGTGAAACAATTT